GTAGTGACTAAAAAGATTCACTTTAAGAGGAAGTGAGTTACTGTTGTGTTTGTGTGTTTGTGTATAAAATTGTCTGTGTGTGCGCTAGAAACTTCAGACTAAATATGAATAACCTACAAACATGTATGCACATATTGCGAAGTATTATACCATGACTGGGGGGAAACAGGAGCGGCAGAAAAGTTGCAGCTTGTGTGAATAAATTTGCACCGTTTATGTAATAAATGTGGTGAATTCACTCCTCAGGGGAGCCCACGGTGGAAACCTTTGTGATCGTATGTTGTCTTACTTATGACCATATATGCTGTGTACAAAAAAACAGGCCATCTATTGCTCAGGATATTATGAGCTCATGAAGCTTTAGGCTTCATTTTGGCAAGACTCACAGGTCTTATGATGGAACACACAATCCTCCCTCTGTAATGTAACTTTTCTATATAAAGGAATATAAATAAATGTAATATTTATATATAAATATTTTGAAATTGCTTTTCTGGGTCCTTATCTGGTCCTCTTTTCTGTCTAAATTTGCATCGTTTGGGAGAAGAAAAGTGGTTCAGTCGGTTTTTCATAGCTATACTTTGAACATGTTGTTCCTCATGAAAGAAAACATCCCCATTAAAAAAAATGGGGGTGAGGAAAGGTTGAAAATAGCTGACATACTTTTGAGGAAGTCTCTCAGTTGGCACTTAATTGTGTTGCTCCATCTGGTGTTTTGTTGAAGTTACTGCGGCACAGACTTATAAGAATATAATACAAAATGTCAGCTTTTAACAGTTTGTATTCTTCAGCAGGCAGTTTGGACTTATAGCTCCCTCTACTGTTCATAACCTATATCACACTTCAAGTAGGCTGTGGGGAAAAAGGGAAACGGAATGGAGAATATTAGAAAGCATTTTTCTAATTTTCTGTTGTCCAATTTTGTCCCAGTTTTCTGTTTTTACCCTGACAGGAGTATGCTCTTCTATTGCTGCAGCCCACAGAAAACTACACACAGATGCAGAGATGCTCTTCTGCATAACCTGTTGTTAGGAATGCTTATTTGAGTTACTTTTTTCCTGTCAGTTTGAAGCAGTCAGGCAGTTTTCCTGTGACCTCTGACACCAAAAACGTATTTTCAGTTTTCTGAAATACTCACTTAAGTGACCTTTCATCCCCATTCTGTTTGTTCAAGTCATGTAATAAATTGAGTTGCTGTCATGTGATTGCACTAATGAGCAATTGAAGGGGTATGAAGTCTCAGGTGAGTGACCTGACCATGACAAGATGAACAAGTCCTGCTATTCTACTGTATTGCAAAAATTAAATACCAGTGCATTTCTTTGCATTTGACCCAAACTCCTAACTTAAGTGCATTTAAGCTGGCATGGCTCAGATCAATGTGTTATCTATTATGACCCAGGTCATGATACTCTGTGATACTCTTTACTGTACAGCGCTGTGATAATGTAGTGGGTGGGACCAATGGGTGGGCACTGTACCGACAGGGAGGTCCATCAACACATGTTGATGGACCTCCCTGTCAGGACAGTGCCAAAAGAGGCTTAACCGCACCCACTGAATAATCAAAACACAGTATGTACTGAATGTGATAGCCAGTCTCCCAGCAGCCTACAGTAACAGCTTAAAAGAGGTTTTATGGTTTGTTGTGTTTTGTTTTTTCTGAGCTTCTTTTTTTATAAATATTGGTCCTCGATTATCAGAGATTGTGAGACCTTAGAATCCTAATAATAATTTGATATTGTTTGATTAGCATCAGAACTCCAGCTAAAATATTACTATGGTATCACTCTCAGGGGTTATCCCTGTTACACCTCACCCACAGCAAGTTTGTTTAGGTTATACAGCAGCGTAATAGCAAACAGTCCTTTTCACCAAAGTATTTCAAAAAGAAAGAAACAAAACTGCACAAAGACATACACTTGTGGTCAGAAATTCAAATGCAGTCATCACGGACATGAATGTCATGATAGTGTGGGGGGGGTTTCAGGGTGTGTAGCATACATCTTTAATGAGTTTAATGACTTAAATTGTGTTGCTTGTTTGTTTTTACCCCTCAAATTTTAAAGGCTGACAGGGTATCGTCATCACCCTGGTGGGCGGTCGGGCGATCGGTATTGACATCTAAGTTTCTCGATAACGCAACAACACGGTGACGTAGGAGCTTCAAATTAATATCATAAGTATATCTACTAAAAATTTCAAATCTCAGTGATCTCAACGTCAGAAGTCAAGTTTTCTGAAAATCCTGTAAATACAATAACTTCAAAATGAGGCAACATAGGATTTTTAAACTGATACCACAGGTGTGTCTGCTCGGAGGCTGAGAAGTAGAACTAGCACACGCCAGTATTTTATAATTTTTGTACTGTGCAGGTCTTCTTCCAGCCACCTTATACAGAGTCCAGAGTCCTCTTCAGAAGTAAATGCAAATTTTCTTACACCTCTCTGTGTTGTGATCTATTCTTTTATATTACATTTTATACTTGTTTATATTCATCAATATTTCTGCCCCGTGTGTATTTGTGTGTGTTATAGTTGCAGACTACAATGATACAAATTTACTGGAAGCTGCACTGCTGGGTGGGGACAGCTTCATTGAAGACACACCAGCTCCTGCATCCCAGCCTTGTTGGCAGCTTCATAAGAAAGATGGTGATGGCAGACCCTGAACCCGTAACTACCACAAAGGTTGTTTCTTTTCAGTGCATTTTTGTATTACCAGCGGCTATGTGTTGTGCTTATTCAGGTGTGCCTTCAGTGAGGAGGTGGAATAAGTGGATAGTATTTTTGTCTTGGCTTACCATCATAACTAATTGCACACCACCTGGAGTCAAGATGACTGAACGGTCTAAGGCGTTGCATTTAGGTCTTGCAGGAAATAGTTCATCAGGAATGCATGTGTGTGCATGTTTGAGTTGCTATTTGTTTCTAAGGCTATTTGACCTCAAGTTTAAATACATAAGTCAGATTCCATTCAGTTTAGGGTTATGCATTCGAGATCATTCAATTGTATATTATGATATATTGACAGATAAAAGCGTGCTCAAGCATCTTTGTAATCAGTGTTCAGTAGCTGAGCAAAAGCTCTGTGTTCTGGTTGCCTTCTCCCTTGGAGGCGTGGGTTCAAATCCTGCTCCTGTGACGAAGCATTTCAAAATATATTTCATTCAGTATTTAAGAAATTTGCAAACATGTAAACATGGATTTATTTCTCACACATAAGTTGTAAGAAAGCTGATGGGAAACGCAGATCCTAAATGGATAGCACTGGGAATAATTGCGGGTTTTTAATGCTTCATGCACTGAGAGCACAAAACATTGTGTGAATCAGTAGTGCATAAAGACTTGCTTCTTCTGCATTGCTCAGGCTGATCTTCAGCATCTATTCATGAGCTTGATCCTACTTTCACCTGCTCTGTCTGCCGGTGCAGGCCTCCTTAGATGACCTGGTGGTACCAGGGCCCACAGGTGCACCATATCCATGCTGAGCGAGGATGCCTGATATACTGCTGCAGCTCAGAGGTCCTGAGCTCAAACTATCCTCTAGCCTCAGTCTCCTGGTAGCTTGTATTACAGGCACACACCACCACACCTGGCAAGAAGCAGCCTCACTCACAGAAAAAAAAAAAAAAAAAAAAAAACACTATAATTTCTTAATTAGCAGAAGGACGTGTGTGTGTGTGATCATTTTGTTTATGCACTGTCAGATAAACAATAAAACATTCATGGATTTTTAATAATCACATAAACAATGACAAACTCAGGACACTGATGGAAATCAAACTGCAGGAATTCTGTTTGGCTACACAAGCAATTTTACATTCATGAGGCAGACCACAAAGACTGAAGAAAACTGTAAACCGGAGGCTAACTTCTGAGGTTTTTCTCAGTTTTTTACAAATGTCTGTCTGAATTGTGTGACTTTGTGAAAGGTGTGACTTTGTCAGGTCTTCCAGAGTAAGATGAACCAGCACAGGTATTTATCATTTTGCCAAATCTCATGGGCTATTGTGTCATGATGGCAGAGCGGTTTAAGGCGCTGCGTTCAGGTCGCAGTCTCCTATGGAGGCGGGGGTTCAAATCCCACTTCTGACAGCAAGTTTCTCGCATGTAGCAAATGAAAGATGAAGATGCTGTTCATCAATACAAAACTAGTCACTATGCAGGGTTGAACAGTGCCCAACTAAGAGACCTGTGTTATGAGAAATTTAGATCTCAAATGCATTTTGTCAGAGTAACACTAAGAATAGTTGTACCCTGTTCATCTGAACAAGTCAGTTTCCCGCATTGAAAACACCTGAATGCAGTAGTGGCAGTCGAATCTACGCCTTAACCTGCTCAACCATCTATATCTTCCACAGCGCTTTTTGGTGATATAGATAATTCCACAGAGCTTCCTGTTTCATCTTAAGCCCTCAATACATGCAGCTGTTACAGAGGTTACAGATATGATATTATGGTTGGTGCTTAGAACTTTGGTCTCATAAAAGCAGATCTCAATGTGTTTTGAAGTGAATTCAAAGTCCAAAGCATTAACCATTACACCATGGGAGTGCCAAAATAATGCCATTAGAAAATTAGCTGGAAATCATTGGATTGTGCTGTTGACTGGAAAACAAAATGAATCATATTAGCTTTAGTGGTTAACTTGCATTTTAATGGTATAAAGATCATGTAAATAAAAAAAGAAGGTCAGCCCTGATTTTACCAATAATGCTCGAATGACAATAAAGTTGCTCCAGTGATTTCAAATTTGCAGATTTGTGTAAAAGAAAGTGATTCTACCAGTATGTGATAGTGCCTTTAATAAATAGTTAGCACAGTGTACATGACAGTTATATATCTTCAGTAAATATATTAGTGACATGAAATTAATGACTTGCTTTGTTGTACATGTCAGCTATTACAAGTCAATTATTACAAAACTCACCAACGCGGAATTAGACCTGACACAACACCAGCATCTTTACTTGAACAGTGTCAGACAAGCTACTTGCTGTCAGAGGTGGGATTTGAACCCACGCCTCCAGGTGAGACTGCGACCTGAACGCAGCGCCTTAGACCGCTCGGCCACCCTGACACATCTGTAGTCATGGTTTCGTGAAGTTAAAAATTTAGGACGGCTGCCTATGCCATCTAAAATGTTCAGATCATGCTGTTGTTACAGAGGTTTGGATCTTTAGCCATCAGAATTGTTGTCTGCCACCCTCCTGGGAAGAGCTGAGGAGAGCCCCAAACGAGAGGTCACCCAGCAGCCACGGAGCAGAGGGTTGCAGTGACCCCTCTCAGGCCTCAGGCCCAGAGGCCATCAGGAGTGAGCCAGTACATACATGAGCGCCCAGCCCCAGACACCAAGAAACACCAAGAAACACCAACACACCGACCTCTCAGAGCATCAGCCACTGGCAGAGAGTGTGGAGAGGGGAGGTGAACAGGTGCACGCAGACACAAACGTGCATTCCCACCCCCATATACACGAACAAATACTCAGCACTCACCCGACGTAGAGACAAACATAAATAGACACTGTACACACATTCACACTCCCCAAACATACTCTATATCCCAGGTCCGTGTACCCCTGCCCCCAGAGGGGCAAACCGTACCCAGACCCAGGAGATGTAACCCTTCTCTCTGGGGTGGAGGAAAGCAGATCGCCTCCTTATCTGCAGTAGCAGGGAGGCCCCGCATCCCAGACCCCAATCCGACGGCCAGCACTTCCTCCCAGCTGCCCAGCCCTGATGGTTAACAGAACGGGGGTGAGTGAAGAAGTGCATTTAAAACACAGGAGGGCATGGTGCTTCCTGCCAGAGAGCAGCACGGCTCCTCCCGAAAACCCTCAGTGTCTATATGCATTTAAAATTGAGGGTAGGGCACCAGCGCCAGAGGTGGGTTTGAATACACAGACTATCCTCTGGATGCTGTATAAAGTGCAGGAATCCATGATGTAAATTAGCCTTTATGCATGTAGTGTTTCGTGTCCACTTTAAAAGGGAGCACTTTTGTCAATAGCTTAGCTGCACAAGCTAATGAATGACCTCTCTTTTGAACACAAAACGCCCTCACACAAAACAGGAGGGGTACCTCCAAAGTTTGGTTTTGTCCGTTCATTGATGGTAGTTTTGTGCTTGCAAAACGCTAGTATAACATATATTTAACACATTGTTGTAGAGGTTAATTGTAGAACCAATCTGAGGGGGCACAGTAGGGGATTTTATTTTCTATATATATATTTTTCCCTCACAAGTTGCACTAAAATCTCTCCAACAGGGCTGCTGTTGGATCCATAACAGCCACTTTAGCCTGAGGCCCTAATGAATAACATGTGTTGCTGATTTTCTGTGTTGCCATCGACTAACTGAACAGCTGAGCGCTGATAGTAATGCTGTTAGTGTCAATAAACTGAGCCTACTGAAGTCTCTATCTCCTGTACTTGCTCTCAAACTCCAAACTATACTCGCCATAGTCAAGTTTGTTTAGCAGCTCCATTCAGTGCTCCACACCTCTGTGCTTGATCTCTCATCCTCAGGTTATGTCACATTCCAGGCAACATGTTGGGACAGAAAGCTCACCTGAAACTAACAAGAAAGTGATTTCGTGCCCTTCCTTTGGACCTAGCTGCAGATTAGCATGATTTTCCTTGAGCTGAGGGACAACTTCTTCGTATCTTGTTGGAAAATCCAGTGTTTGTGAAACACAGCCTTGTTTTCCTCCTCTGGCCTTCTGCTGTAAATTTGGGATAAACAAGCTCCCCCCCCCTGCTGTTATGACACTGATGGAAACACATCAGGAGCTGATAAGTGTGTAACCACACCTGTATCCTCCCCTCAAATCTCCCATCCGCAGCTTCATTTTCATATTTCCTGCTGGGTGCTTTTTCACCTTTTGTTGTCTTTTCTCTCATATTTGATCCGGCAGTGCCAGTCTCACCCCCTCTCCAACCTGGTTCTCCCTCTCTTTGTCACTGGTTGTCGATCAACCAGTCAGTGACATGTGGAATTTTTCATCACCTCGCCCCGGGGGCACCATGCTGCCTGCGCCTGTGTATCGTGCTGCTTTTTTTTCCAGTCCTGCCTTCTCTCTCTCTCTCTCTCTCACACTCATGCACACTCATTCTCTCCCCGCGGTATTATTCTGAGTCAGCCAGTGGCAAGCTATGGTTTGTTGTTTGTGGTCAACCCAGCTGTATGGGGTAGCAGTAGCTGTCAGTGACTGATCAGCTCTCCATGGCCTATCGTCCCTCCAGCTCTGGCTCCTACACTGTGGTTATCATCCCGCTTAAGACCAGTCTGTGCAGCGTGGACGCACTTCGCTTCTACCTATGGGTGAGGATAGAGGTGGTATTTGTGTGTCTATACATCATCTGTTTTGTCTCCCTGTTTTTTTAGGAGTTGTATGAATGATCAAACTGTTGTATACTAAACATGCTTTTGATGGACTCTTCTGTCTCTGGGGAAGTGTCACTAGTTTGGTACATTTGGCCAACCTGCAATAACCTGACTTTTCCCACTTCTCTGGAATGTAACATCCATCATTTCTGTGTTGATTTTGACTCATTTACTCATTATTTTACAGTATTCTTATAAAGAGACAAGTTTATCTAGGCTAAATGGCAGCATATTTCACTAGTAAGTTCAACCGGTACAAGCTACAAGCTACAAGGAACGAGTGCCAAGAAACACAAACAACTAAAGTGCAGGGACAGAAATGTCAGAAATCTTATCTGTTGATTAGAACTGAGATTGTTAAACAATTCTTTTCATTAATCTTTGAACAGACAGCAAACACAAGTGTAGTCTCACAGACAAAAAAAACTTTTTTAACTTTTTAGGCAAATTCAAAGAGGTAAAAACGTCCAATTTTAAGTCTTCATGTCTGCATAAAGCTAATTCAGTGTCACACGAGATATCCTCAGTTCATTCTTTGATTGCACTGTAGGACAAAGGCAATTTTAATAATATGCCTAACATGATATCTGCACATTTTTGCTGCCGTCTGAGGTTTTATCACATTTATTCTGTTCTGTGTTAAACTCAACTGGTGAATACCATGCCTTTCAAAAAAAAGGCATGGTAAAAATTCAGCATTTTTAAAGCTGGATAAGTTTTGCAAAAGAGGATTTTGTGGTTTCTAAGTGCCTCCTTATATTGCTTGGTGGAGTATTACTCAAGTTACTTGACAGGCTCAGGCTCAGGGCTCTCTACTCTCACTGTCAGTCAGGTTTTTCATGTGTCATGCTGTAATAACATCCAACTTTTGGCAGCTGTGCAAAAAGCTTTTTTTTTGTATGATTTGCCTCAGGTAAACACTGCTTCCAAAGTACTGAAACAGTGGATTAACAATTCATCCATATCTTTTTGTCTAGCAGTAATAGGTTCTGACTGTTATTGAATTCCAGCACACAGCTAGACTTGCCTCACACAGCACAGAAGTGTGCCTCGACACACCATTGGGGAACAGCTTTGTTAGTTGAAAAGACACATTTTGGATTCATATAATGATGATGCACCACCCTCTGTTCAGTTGCAATGCTACTCTGCTGCACGTGCTGCAAACAGTGCTGAGATAAATGTTGAAGCTGCTCTGCTGAATAAAATATGTTATGACAGCATTTCTAAACTAATCTATTATTGCATTATTAACATTTAAGAAAAAAAGGTTTACGCTTATAAGCCAAATAATAAGTAACAACCTCCTGCCACCGATGTCAAATGACCTAATTAACAAAACAATTGATTGACTATTAAAATAGTATATAGTTAGCTATTACAGCTATAGTCTTGATGGTGTACCCTGCAACACACCACAACCATCAGAAAATCACACCAGGCATCAAAAATAAGATCAGCCTGATATCTGTGCAGTGATATCAGTCACCATTCAGTCGATAATTAAAAAGAAAGTGAAGAACAAAAACTATATTTTAAACAGTGCTTCCATTATATTTTTATCCATGGGAGAGAAGTTTAATAGGTGCTAGCTACCAAGGGGCAAACTCCAGAGCTGAAAAAGTGGCAAAAACTGCAGTTCCTGTAGCTGCCACTTGAGGCTGGCACCAAAATGAAGTTAATCTCCACAGACTCATACATTCAAAGGTTGAAGTTTAGAGATTAAAAAGCATATTTACTGCCTGGTACAAAATAGGGTTTGCGCCTGTGTGGGTAGTTTTCTCTTTTTAATAACTCATCTGCCTGTATAATTGGCTTGTTAGTCTCAGCACTAATTGGCTCAATTAACATATTCCTGCACCCAAACAGTTTGTGAATGCAGCTTTCTGACCAAGCTAGCTAGAGTTAGCTTGATAAATTAGGGCTCCACCCTTTCTTCCATATATGGCAGCTGAGGTCACGGTGACTACTTTCATCTTTGATACTGCCTGTGGAATTGCCATGATATTTTGCAGTTGTTCTCTTGTGGTAGGGAAACTATATTCTGCTAATGTCAGTATGTTTAGCATAAAATATCACGCTCACCGCGTTTTTTACTTCTCATGAATTTTACATTTTCTAACTGGAAAAATGTGGATTTTAGGGGTTAAGGTCACGGCACAATCCTATAGAAATAGTCGCAAGTCTAATTGTTTCTTTTAAACATTAACACGTTTGAGACAAGAAAGCAGAGAAAACTATAGAGCAAATGTGCATGTTTTCTCACTAACAGCTAACCAGCCCAGTGGTGTATATGCTTTCTCCATTCTTTTCTTTTTTTTTTAAATGTAGTGTTTGTTTGTGATAACAGTAAGCCGACTCAATGTGACAAACTTGTAGATAATGTTGAATCTGATCTCTTTTTCTCAAGGCTCTCAGAGTTGAATGTTTTCACAATGTACATTTTTGGTTAACTATCATAACTGAATCATATGTGGCAAACTGATAACATAAGGTTGACAGCCATGGATTAAGAGGTCATGTTAGCAATATTCAGATTAAGAGCATGTCTCATTAATACTTCTAGCTTTTTAAATTTGTTTTCCATTTGAACAGCACACTCACTCACTGTGTGTTTTTCAGACAAGTTGAATTGTCACGTAAAGGTGATGCGCATCGTTGTATGTATAAAGTGCGTGTGTTGAGTCAGGTTGCGTTCAGTCATTTCTATCTTTGCTTTATTCGGGGTAGCGTGACTCTACAGTCATCCCAGTGACACATTCCCACATGTCAAGCTCGATCTTCACAGCTTCCTGTTGAAGGATCAGTGTAACCAGTTTTCTGTTAGCAGTAAATCTACTAACGATCAGCAGCCGAGCCAGAATAAATTTAGACTATTAACTCTAAAATAGAGAATAGAGTTTTCGGCCTCACTGTCGTTGAGATTACAGTGACTAATGGTCTGAAGTCATGAAGCCCCACCGCCACATGTCATGTTTCTCACTGTGTGTCTTTGTTTCAGCCTATTTAAAGAGCCTGTAACCCCGCTGGGCATAGACTAAAGAGCTAAAGGCCACCTGCTGCTCAGTGTTGCCTGGTACACAGTGCCTCGGGGCCTCTGGTTTACATGCTTCTATACATGAACCTGAAGGTCAAACATGTTAGCCTAGTACACAGGGACATACCAAAACTGGTTCTATCATATAACTCAGCACAAACAAAGTTTTCCATTTCATTTTGCTTCTTTGTGTTTCAGATTAAACGGTTGAAGGATCTGGAGAAGGAGAAGGACGCTCTGTGGTCTGGTCTGGAGATTCTGGAGAAGGCTCGGCTCTGGTATCTCCAGCGGCTGGAGGAGAACAGGGCTTGGCAGGATAGCATCGAAAGCAGAAGTGGGTTTGTCTCCAGAAATGAAGATGGAGCAGAGGTACAGAGAAGGGCCTCTTTGATTTTACTGACATGAGGCTGTCATGTTTAATAACGATGAATGATTACAGTCTTAACTTCCTTCTGACTTTGAAAAGGCTTGTCATTGTAACACAATCACAACTGGCTGCCTTATTGTCGAGGCTGAAGGATGGAAGTTGCATCGGGCCTTACCATAAATTTTAGCATGCACAGCGTCCAAGTTTAGTGGTCAATATCTGAAAAATTGTGCAAGACTTCAGCCTCATTCCTAAACGACAAACATTTCCTGTAATTACATCATTTTAAGCATCTATTTCATTTTCATCTGTTAGTGAGAGCATTCCTCACCAATCATAAAGATGAGACTTGTGCTTGGCATCCATTCGGGTGTTTCTAAGCCCACTAACAGTTCTGTGTGCCTGTCCTCAGGCTCGCTCCTGCCTCCTCGGGTCTCGTATCCAGCGGGTGAACGGTTCTCTGGGCTCTGTGATGAGTGAGCCTAACGCCATGACCGGCAGCAACCCCTCTCTGCTTGAAGCAGTGGCAGACAGTGACCTCCGGTGGCACAACTCAGTACTGACTCAGGTAAAGAAACAACCCTCAAGGAGGTAGAAGAAATATATTTTAATTAAATATTGAAACATCTTCTTTAAGAGCTTTTAATAAAGTTACGTGAATAAGTTTTGCATAAGCGTTCTTATGATTTGTCCCTTTGTGTAACATTGTCATTTTTCATGTTTTAACAGGAGGTGAAGAACAAGAACTGTCAAATATCCTTGTTAGAACAGGAAAAACACGCTCTCCTCAATCAACTCCATGCACTGAAGAACTGCTGACTATAAGCTTACACGTGTATTACACCCCAAACTTACATTTAACTGGATATCATACAGTTATTTGCATGTAAATATGTATTTAAATTAATAAATGATAGTAAATGATACATTATTTTTTTCTTTGCTTTGTATGCAGTGAACCAGCCTGACTGGAAGGTTTTTGAATAACTTGACTGACGTGTTGAATGTGCTGCATTTGTTAATTCCTCATGACTATCATTTAACTTTGACCACTTTATGCTCTCTGCTGATGATACATTTAGGGTTATGTCAACATCCAAGTATTCCCACAAATTTGTTCCTGCACTATTTGTCTAATTAAAATGTAAAAGTATATTAAATAACAACTGCAAGTCCAGAAAAAGATGCCCAGGCTTCATTTGAACCGTAACACCTTCTAGTTTCTGTAAATGTGCTTGCTGGGCACGTGAATAAATCATATTCTAACTGTAAGAGACCCTGTGAATATATTCAGTTGTATGTAGACGTACAGTTGAATAATAGATACACCTGGATCACTGCATTGATTCTTTATGAAATGAAATGTCTCCATGTTTGGAGATACTCTCTGAAATGGATGGACACAACATGACTAAACTGATACCACATGAGCAAATTAATTTTTTTTTTCCTTTACTGAATGCACTGAGTAAGTGCAATAAGTGAGCAATAGTGTTTAGTACTTCTCCAAAAGACACTTGAAGCAAAGTAATCTCATTATAATAAAGGCTTACAAATTTGAGAGACTAGCCCATGTCTCAGTTTTAATTACGTTCATTTCAATGTAATTTATATAGCACTAACTCACAAAACTAGTTGCCTCAAGGTGTTTTATATTTATATTTATATTATTAGCAAGACAATCCCAACAATCACACGAACCCCCAACAAGTTAGCAGTTGGCAACAGCGGGAAGACAAATTTACTTTTAACAGGATGAAACCTTAAACTGAACCAGGCTCAGGGAGGGGCAGCCATCTGTTACAACCAGTAGTTGATCACTTAATGAGAAGTACAGAGATTCACATTGGTGGAAAAGTGAACAAAAGAATGATCATCAATTCACATTAAGAAAAACTGCTGATAGCTAAATGACTGTTGCTGCTACTGTCTTTAGAGGGTGTCCTGTAAAGATTACAAGAAGAGCTCAAGAAACAATCCTGGAAGAGTTGTTCAAAACAAAACAAAATTTAAAAAAACGGAGAAACAAAAATATACAACACTGTTTTGAGGGGACACGGTACGGGACATCAGCTGCAAAGCCTCATTCCCACTGTAGAGCACGGTGGAGGGAGCATCATGGTTTTGGGCTGCTTTGCCATCTCAGGGCCTGGACTGTGAGAAGTCACTGAGGGGACAAATGGTTTAAGGTGGTATTTTGAAGTGGTTACTTCAAAGATGGGAACCAGGTCACAGTGAGTTCTCTTCAGAGCAGTAAGTCTGGTTTCAATCAGCTTGCATTCAATGAAATCAAGCTGGCAAATAAATCCATTCTTTTTATGGAAATATTGTTATTAGCTGTAATTTAAAAAAATAATCTATTACTGTCTGCATTTACTGGAATTTACAATAAGTAGGGATGGCTGTAGCTCAGGAAGTACATCTACAAATTAGAAGGTTGATGGTTCAATCCCTGGCTGCTCCAGTCTGCATGCCAAATTTACTTGGGCAAGATACTAACCCCAACTTTCTCTCCAATTGGAGTATGAATGTTGAAATTCCTCTACTAATAGTGACATGGTTGCTTAACTTCAGAATGAAATAGGCACTCAGTTGGGCTCAATCGCTGTAGCTGGCTCAGAGTGATTGCAGTGTGTGCGAAATCAGTTTGCATTTATAAATTATCTGGCGAGTGATTGCAGTCAGTTTGGAAACATGTTGCGTCCCACCAGGCAACCTGTACAATTGCCTTACAATCTAAAGTGGTCGGTTACAGAATTTAAAAAAAAGTGCAATCACTAAGCAAACACTACGATTTTCCTAGTCACAAGACTTTTACCCCTCCGCTGTAGAAGGCTGATGAGGAATTGTTGGCAGGCGGGCAGACGGGTAGCATGGACACCCAACAATGCAATTAGGGATTTTCAAATCTATACCATAGGTGCATCACCTAAAAAAATCTCAGAGGTGTTAAAATCTTGTTGACCTGGACCTTAAGGTAACGTTTTTCTGAAAATCTTGCAAATCTGATAACTCAAGGGGGAAATCCTCAAGAAGACTTTCAAATGTATTTATCATTTCCTGGTGCATTTACCAGGAGGCTGAGGGGCAGCACTGATGGTTCTCATTATTTTTATTCCTAGTTTCACTCAAGTGTAATTAAGCCATTAGTTCCTGGCTGGCATGCTCGACTTCATACGTCACAAAAACATGCTCTACAATTTGTTAACAGTACTAAAAAATGCTGACATCAGCAGTGCTACCCTTTACTCTCTCGGTAAAGCGCGAATGGTGTTAATTTGAAAGTCCTAGATGATGTCCTTGAGTTAACACATTTGCAGGATTTTGAAAAAAAGTTGCCAAATTTTCTTTGCAACTTAATGAGATGACACATAAAAAATATCAGTCTGCTCTATAGCACAGTTGTTCGTTTATTAAAATATGCATTACACAGTATAAAGCTGCAACATTACTTTAACACCCAGTGTGGGATAATGCACCATAAATGCCTACCATATTACTCTGTAGCAAAAAAAAAGGTTATCAGCCACATTACTGAGTGAGCTGAAGAATTAAGATTAAGAGAAAAATTATGAATAAATGATAGCTTATATGAAACCCGAAAACCAGTAATTACACAGGCCTGAGTCATGAGAGGAAAGAAAATACAGTCAGATCTCAGATTATTTTAGCAGCTCTTGTGAGAAACTAGACAAAAATGTGGCAGTTCAATTGTACTGATGGCCAAATATGTTATTATATATTCAGAAAGTTATATTTGGCAAAAACGAAAGGTAAACATCGATAGTTTTATGAACTTAAATAAATAAAACATCTCAACAGGCACAGTGTTGTCAGTGAGGGGGTGACAGGGACTTTTCAGAGTTATATCCACCGACATCTAAACCGCAGTCTTCACTATTGGCCGAGTCAACCAGTCTCTCTCTTCCTCTTCTGCTGTCGTCGTCGTCCTCCTCCTCCTCCTCCTCCTCGTCTTCGTCGTCAGCGTCCTGCTCCTTGCGGGACCCCCTTTCTGTCTTGGGCCCTTTGCAGATCTTGAGGTGGCGCGTGAGGTGGTATTTGGTGAGGAAGGCTTTGTTGCACTTCTCGCACACAAAGTCTCGGCGGCCCTCGTGAGAGTTCATGTGCTTCTTCAGGTGGTTGGTCTTGAGGAAGTGTTTGTTGCACTTTGGGCACTGAATCCGCCGCTCACTGTCATTGAGAAATGAAGGAGATTTAAAAACAACTATTAGACACTCTGGATTCTGAGAGTACAATCCATCTGTTGACTTTTAAAGCAATGAAGTGACGCACTGTGTGTGAGAGAACATGTGCTGCTTCAGGTCGTGTTTCCTGATGAACGCTCGATCGCAGAGGTCACACTTGAGCTTCTCCGCCCCGGTGTGGATGAGCATGTGCGACGCCACGTGGGACTTCTGAGTGAACGACTTCTCGCAGACTGTGCATCTGTAGTTCTTCTGACCTGTCAGTGCGAAAACATGTGTGCATGTGTTAATCAGTCTGTGTGCCGAGCATCTGAAGTTACACTATTTGCGCTGTACCTACCTGTGTGAATTTTCAGGTGCATCCTGAGGTTGCTGGGGTCGCTGAAGGCTTTGCTACAGTACTCGCACTTGTGAGGTTTCATCCCCACATGGCCCATGAAGTGCACCTTGAGTTTAGTGGATGTAATGAACGCCCGAGTACACATGCTGCATTTGAATTTCTTCTCCCGCACGTGGCCCTGACCTTTTGCCCTGGAGGTAATGTTATCAGAGTTTCTATCACTGCCGCCCCCGCTGCTGGCGCCGGTGTCAGTGTTTGTCTGCCCTGCAGCAGGGTTGTGACAGGGCCACGGGGAAGAGGAGGAGCTAGAGGTTTCATTTGTCAGCTTGTCTTCCTGGTGAGAGTGTTGCTGGGGCTGCTGCTCCTGTTGCTGTTGCTGCTGAGTTGGTGGTTGCTGTTGCTGATTGTGGTCCTGCTGTGATGGGCTGTGGCTGTGTGGAGGTTGGGTATGGCTGTGGTTACTGTTATGGCTGCCAAGATGAGACTTAAGGTCAGAGAAGGAGGCGCACTCTTTGCCACACTGGCAGATCTGACCCTCGGGTACCTGTGTAACACCTGAGAACCAAAGAAAAGGAAGTTAGAGAGTTGAGAATGTGGGCCAGTCAATGGCATCTATTCCTTCATCCTCCAGGAACTGCCTGCATACTCTCACCATATGATTATTGTGTACCAGGAGGTACCTAGGACCCACTGCACCAATGTAGGGTCAGACAATGGGTCCAGCTGTTTACTCACACTCGTACTAAATGAGGGTTCCTTAAATTTATACAGAGGGTTAGACATATTTAGTCATGTCCGCTCACCCATCAGCCTGCAGTAGTCTCTGCTGTAATAGAAGAGCAGCTCCTGGTCCGGGTGGATCTCAGTGGTTGTGCAGAAGAAGAGTTTACCGTTAGCAGGGTACGCCACCAGATTCTGCTCTTCATGTGTCCTGGACACACAAACAAAAACGTGTTAATTTTAATTTGCATTGTGGGTAATGTAGGCAACAATGGCATATAAAAACACGAGCATTCACCGAGCTTTGCGGACGAACATCATCCAATTGCATTCGTTCTCATCTGTTGTCACGATGCAGAACTCTAGCACGTTGTTGTGGTACATCTGTGACAGAAAAACTTGTTTATCATGCGTTCCCATGCTTTCATCGTGGTTTTGTATTGAATGTGGCAACTGCACTCCTAACAAAGGGCCACAAGATTAACCTTCCATATTTGAGGTGTGTCCTTTTCCGGCCAATCAGAGAGGTCCACGTTGCTACAATGCTGGCCAACCATTGGTCCAAAACAGGTCCTTGGTGGAATGACGTCCCGTGCAAAAACTCCTATGAGTGCAACCACATGCACATTTAAACATGAGCTTAGAGTAACATCTGAGGTCTGTCCTCATTAATAATCAAGTTTCTTTTCTTACCGAGCGGTTCGTCGGCAACAGAGATACGCAGGCACAGCGGACGCGGGAGAGAGAGGCGAGCCCGGCTTTGGATGGGAGCATCTGGGATGAAAGTGACTGGGCCATGCTCAGGACAGTCTGAGGTATATGAGCACTCACACAGTGTGCACCCTAAAACAAAAATGCACATTAGCTTTAAAGATTTCTCCATAAGCTATCGATTTTACTTGGATAGGAGACTTGAAGTTAAAAACTCACAGATGCTGTAAGCATTGACCATGTTCTCCTTGTTGGAAGAGGAATCCTCGAGCTGCAGCGTCGAGTTCACCAGCACCAGGTTGTTTTCCGGCCCCAGAGAAACCTCAGCAGTGATGGGGGACACGTTAACGGCCTCCAGCCCCATCCCAGAGTGTCCATGCAGAGACACAGGCTCCAGCTGGTTCTGGTTGGCCATGGAGCCGGTGAGTACCACACTTACTACGCCTGAGTTCAGCTCCCCGTTCGTGTGGAGTTGCTCCCCAAGTCCCCCTGCTCCCCCTCCCCCCGAGTTGCCCACTCGCCCCCCCATGTGATCCTGTTCCATTACCACTGGCAATTCGAGCACAGGGGGTCCATGCAGGGGCATCACCCCACCAGAAGAGTCCACCCCTGTCAGGCCCTCGTGAGGCTGGGGCTGCCTTCCCCCTCCGAGCTGCTGCTGGGTGTCAGGCACCGGCACTACTCCGACTCCATCCATTGAGGCCAATTCCTCCCCCATCCGCTCAGGAGACATGGGACTGCTGACACGTGACTCCATGGCAAGCCCTGTAGAGTCCAGCTCATGAGCACCTGTCTGGTGAAGGTCTGCCTGACCACTAACTTGTCTGGAGTCCATGGGCACCAGGCCCTGCTCCAGTGGGCCTCCAGGGCCACTATAGGGATCCAGACCTGAGGAATTGTTACTGGGCACAGACAGGGTCCCATCCATGTTAAGGCTGCTGGGATGAATATACTGAGGTGGAGGACGGTCTGCCAGGTAGGACAGAATACCTGTAGACCAAACACAGAGACCGTGTGGGATATACAACTTAAATTAAACATTGCCCTCGCCTCTAGATGAGTGTTCTGAGAAACCTTAACCCACCTGGCAGTATGTGTCGGAAGTAGCTGCTTTCCAGGTGAGGGTATGGTGGAGGGGGCAAGGAGTAATTCCTTTCAGGCAGGCCGCACATCACCCCTCTATCACTCAGTGGACCCATGGGGAGCATCAGAGACAAGGCTGAAGGGAGAGAACCAAGGGAAGGACCCAGACTGGGGATGGCCACTGGCATACCTAAACTCCCAAACCAAAGAACAGGTAAATACACACTGACGCTTGAGACAAGAAAGAATAATATGCAAATGAAAAATATGATCTATCTGCAAACAAAAACATTTTATACACCAGCTATAAAGTGAAAAATAACTGTCAATAGCTGTTTAATTAGTACATGAAACCGGGTTAACACTGACAACAGAAATCTGGACACAGTCATGTATGCCCCACGAGTCTGAGCAGGCCTCTACACAACCCATATTGTAAATATATGTAAATATGTGAGGATTGTCAGGATGCTTTCAAGCTTGATACCTTCATTAACAAAAATCTAAGTGCAAGTGTAACTTCTGATGACGAGTCAGTATTTTACAAGTATCAGTTAGAAAACAAACTAAATTTCTTATAATTATAACTTTGTTTAACAATAAGAAATAATTATTACAATATGCTTTGTGACTTTTTCTCCTTATTGGGTCTTCCAGAAATCAGAATTAAAAGCAGAATAGCTGGAGTGAGTATGTTTTGTTTATAAAGGACAAAATGTGTGGACCATCACAGATCACCAGGTCGGTCTAATGTGTTCCCAGCTACAGCATTAAGAGCAGGAAGCAGCGTGTTCCATACCTGGAGTGGGAATGGGATTGTGCGTGGGGGAGGTGGGCAGACCCAGGTGGCTGGCACTCACTGAGGACACGCTGAGCTGGTCCATGCCCACAGGACTGAGGTTCATGTCATTCATCCTGGAGAGTCAACATCAGAGGCAACCTGAGCGTTTAGCCAGAAAGCTAGCTAACATACACAAGTAAGCACATTTTGGGAGGGTGAGGGGGTGAGAAGGTTATTGTACCAACCTCGCGACCGTCTTTTTTTCTGAAGGGAAGCGTTTAGTAATAAACAGAAAGCACACAATGTGCACACAGATTAAGTACAAACTTACCTGAATTTAACAACTGAGGTCCTGCAGTAGCCGTGTACATCTGAGTGGTGCTCCTACATGTCTGTCCCTGCGAATTAAAGACAGTAGGCTTGAAATAAACTTAAAGCGCATGACACTGACAAAGAAGCTAAAACTAAAGTCAACGTTATCAGATTTTTTTTAAAGAAAATAAAAAAGCTTTGCAACTAGCTAGCTAGTTAGCCCAACATCTCCGGACTGGCCGCACTGTTAGCTTTGTTCGAGCGGTTTCTGCTGGGCAGTATTACACGTGTAACTCGATACGTCCGTAAGTGTTGCTTTGTTGCTGAAACGTTGAGGATTTTAAAAGGAAAAGCCGTGAAAACAACAACATACCAACACAATACCTCCATGACCTGGGCCATGACAGTACTGCCTCCCGGCGCATGCGCCGTAGCATAGAAGGATGGAGGCGCGTCGGCTGATCACAGGTCAGTAAGAGGGATAACCTCCTCCTAATTTACCTTTAGTTTTTAATATTTACTATTTAATGTTTTTATAAATCTGTGCGGTGTTTCTTAGTGAAAAATGTAACTAGGAAACGCTTATTTGCTTTATTTTGTTTCCTTTGGTGCTTGTTTAGCTGTCCAGGGAATGATGTTGGTGAGTACGAACACGGCAAAGAGGCTGTAGTTCGGAGGTGTCAAACATAGGGCCCGGGGCCCGAATCGGCCCGGCAAAGACTCCAGTCTGGTACGCTGGACGGAAGATATGGTGGAGGGTATAAAGTTTTGTTCTTTTAATTGCATTTTTATAAGATTTCCAGCTGTTCCTGCTAATAAAGAACGCCCCCCCCCCACGCACACATACAGCCACTCATACACTAAAGTAGGTAAATAGTAGACAATGAAATGACAGAAAAGTTCTTGTATTTTTACTGTTTAGTAAAAGCTTATTTAGATTCTTCACTATTCTAAGAGACATATTCTTATTCTTTTAAATAAAAAATACTATAAAAGGTAATATTTTAATTATCTAATTCTATGGGGTTTGTTTAGGTTGTGATTTTTCTTCCTGCTGCTCCAGTCTAGTTCTTGATTTACTGATTTGTCAGATAAACTTGAAGTTAATCTTACACTCCTCTGCTGTGACATTGAGGAGTGTGTGTGCTTTTACTACCAGTTGGTGATAAGTTTCAATTTTTTGGCACTGAAAGATTGAATGCTATCATGTGGAACAAATAACTTCATGTTATGATGTTTCATGATGGTTTTACGTACAAATGCTACCTTCAACTCATATTTTGTTGTTGGATTAGGATTTCAAGGACATACAGTCCCTTGCAAAAGTCATCTATTATCATTGTTGAAAAAGAAAAAAGAAAACAAAGATAGATGACTTTGGGATATTTTATCCCAAAATACACCAAATAAATCCTAATCAACATCCATAAGGCTAATTGTTGAATAACTTACAATGAAAATTACTTATAAGCCAATAAAAATTTCCAATCTTTTTTTGTCCTGCTGAGAACTGCTTCACACTGTTAGCGGAAGGAAGAAAACGTTGTGTAAACAATTTTATCTTGTTGAGAAAAGCTACATGGATTCATCTCCGCCCAGGATCACACCCACCCATGTCAGCAGCCTCAAAACCCCCAACAAACAAGCTGTCACTGACTACATCGAGGGCAGCCGACTTTGTTGTTGTTTTCTTTTCTTTTCTTTTCTTTTCTTTTTTTTAAAGATAACACGTTTCATCTGCAAAATTCAGAAGGAAACTCGCGCACACACCAGTGATGGTTGTTGTGAGGAGGCTCTGACGAGGTGAGTTGAAACGATTCATTTGGTGCTGGATGGTTTGAATCGATGTAATACCCTCTGACTTCATGATAAAAAATGTATTTTTTCTTGTTATTTCAGCAGAATGGCTTACCACAGTCAGGGGATGATGGAGCACATTTCACTCGTCCGTCCGCTGGCTCTCCACGGCATCTCCATGGACAACAGCGGAGCGCACCGTCAAGACGCGCTTCGCCTCGGACTGCCCTGCCACCTGGACGCCTACTTTGACCCCGTGCACGGACAGAGATTACCCTGCAGACGATTCTCCTACATCCCCTTTCACGGACCCCTCGGTGTGTGCGATTACTCTTTCGAGCCCGCGTTTATCCGGAAAAGGAACGAACGGGAACGGCACCGAGTACGCTGCGTAAACGAGGGTTACGCGCGCCTCCGGGAGCACCTGCCTCACGAGTTCGACGACAAACGGCTCAGCAAAGTGGAGACGCTGCGAGCGGCCATTGACTATATCAAACACCTGCAGAACCTGCTGGATGTAAACGTCTCCGGGGTGGAGGTGTCACTCGGAGGGGCGCGCAAACTCGAGCGGCTACAGCAGAGCTCGGAGTGCACTAGCGATGGAGAAACTCAAACCAGCCTAAGCGAAAGCGGGGATGTTGTTTAAATAGCCCTGCCTGTCACTCAGACCTGCTGTGTATGATCAAAGTGTAAAAAGGAAAAAGGGACAGTAAAGATGAGCTGTAATTATTATTGAGTCATATTATTTTTATATCATGCAGTCAATGAAATAATAATGTCTTTCTTCACTTTCGGAAAAGGTACATGTTACAAAATAATCCCAGCTCATTTATGTCATCATTAAATTGAGTTTAAAAAAAAGCATTAACGTCCAATTATTTTTTTACCACATGTTACAAGCTCTTTGTGGTTGAAAAGTATCAACAAGGTTCCTGAGCTTGCTTTTGACTAAAACATAACCCTGTGCGAAATGTCTCTTTAGAGAGACTTTAGAGCAAGGGTGTCATGAGGCCAGGGGGCCAGAACTGGCCTGGCAAAGACTCAAATCTAGCCCAATGAGCGCTTTGGAAATTATAAGCAAGTACTTTTGAACTTTTAACTGTATTTTCATAACGTTTACAGCTTTTTCTTTGGATAAAGACCTCCCCTTTTTCCATTCATACTACACCCAAATGATATGTAACCGATAAAATGACAAAAGTTCCTGTTTATCCACTATAGAAATTTAAGTTTGCTTGTGTTTTTTTTCCATAGCTACTGTAATCGCATACAGTACAGTAATAGCTACCAGAGCTCTTTCTGTAATTTAACATATTCAACACTTTTTTTCTTATACTAAGACATCTCAGGGATCAAATGTTTAGCTAAATGTCTTTCCACTGATGGAAAGGGGGAATTTCAACTGGTCCAACCCAAATAACATGTGTGTATGTGGCCTATGATATAACACTGGTTCAACATTGCTGTGTCAGAGTCCCATTTTTATCCATCCTTCTGCCATCTTAACTGCATATTTAATTCAGTGTCACGGAGGAGCTGGAGCTTATTTCACCTTTTACTGTGGAACCTCGGGGTGCACATCACATGTTGACAGTCTCTTTGCTCTCCGGTTACTTTGAAATGTTTTCCTCAGTTTTAAAGCGCTGGATTTAGATACAAATAATTTCCCTTATGTAAGTTAAAAAAAATAATGGCTTTCCCGTGCACAGGTCTAAGGTGGCATGTACAATCATGCACTGAATGATTAAGCAACTCAAAAAATCTGCTGTTTGAACTTTTCTGAGCCTCGCACATGGGCAGTTTGGTTGTGCAATCAGAAAATCTGTTCTAATCAATGGAATAAGGTGATGTTATCATTCTGCTTTGACACACAAGATTTCGATTGAGTGGAATTTATTCTCTTTGGTTTGTTATTTAACAACAACACGCTCAGTCTCGTCTTGTTTCAAGAACGAGCGGCTATTGATATAGTCATAAAAAATGAGAGAAATGAAATCTCAAATCTGCTACTGAACTAGTTAAGTAAATAAATTTATTTATATAGCACTTTTCACAGATAAAAATCACAACAAAACCAAAAATAAAAATTAAGTAATAATATAAAACAATAACTTGTAAACATAAGACAACTAACCACTTTAGTTGTCATTAAAGTGGTTATTTAACTTCATTTGAACTTGCTGCACATTAATATGAGCTCAAGAATTCAGTTAGTCTCCTGATATATTTGTAACTATGAAAACGCTTTTGGCCATGACAGAAAATCGAGGATTTTTACTTTGCTGTTGCTTCTCTGTTGTAACTGTAGCCCTTCTGATGAGCCCTTTTCTCCCACCCTGACTGCTGAGAATCTTGTGCTAAAGGCCATTTGCTGCTCAGTGTTCACTCTGGACAAAAACCTTCTTAAGCCAAGCCCGAAGATGAACAGCACTCAATGATGACATCTACCTTCTCATTTGTAAGCTGTGCATTCTGAGTGTTTTATCTTACTGCTTTATGTATGAGCTGACAATACCAAGGTACTCCTTGCTTTTTTTCTGCCATTTAACTTTTATTTTTTGTAATAAATAATCAGCATTGTCAAGCAGTTTGTGCAGCTGTAGATTAGCATACTTGATTTCTCGCCAGTGTTAAACGGTTGTTTGCAAAACCATGCTTTTAAAGCAGTTTCCCAAGCACTCCTTAAGCAAGAAGCATCCCTTCAGAAGAAAGTATCTCTCTCTTTCTTCATGTTTTTTGCACCTAAATGTTCTTCAAAGACCACCTACTTCATATCTCATGGTACTCAGGAAGTTTTTGCCTTCTAATATCTTGAGGAATGCATTTATCAGGGAACCCTCAGCTTCATAAGAGGAAACTCTAGAAACATTCGTCTCTACTTCTACTATTTGCATGTTTATCCTTCCAACCTCCGCTGGCCTGCATGGAAACAGCCCCTTTCTCATTTTCTGTAATACCAAAACCACAAATTTACCCCCAAAAAGTAAACATTAGCGATATTGTATACAGTTAAAGGGGATTTGGAAAGCCCTGCAGAATGCACGCCAACTGAACCGTGCAGATAGGGGAGAATGGCATTGATTTCCACTAAAGCATGACAAACCCTCAACAAAAGGCGTTTGGTAGTGCAGTGTGTGAATTAGACCCAATAATTAGCCAAGTGCTGGTACTTTGCGCTTGATGGTTCAGCGGCACTCTAAAGATGGAAAACATGAAGCTACTACTGAAGCTACTAAAGCTTCTGCCATAATGCACGTTTTCTTTCCTGAAGTACACAGGCAGATTCTAATCGGATTCCTGCACAGATTCCTTGGATCCATGGATCTATTTCAGTGTGAAATTTGTTGCCTATGTGTGCGTGAGATTTAACCCATAATAAAGAGGAAAGGGTTGTGAGGAATCATGTGGATTGTGTTTTATTTTTGGAAAGTGTGTTCCACATCCTTACCTCCTATACAATCAGTTTTTTGAATCTGAGGGACTAAAAAAACAAAACAAAAACAACTGCTCAAACATTGTTGTCCTCTGAACATCTTGTCACACAGGGCCACCATGGGCCCTTAGTAAACACACGCTTGAGAACAATTGGGTATATCCCTTACAATGTGGTGAAAAGCATGCTAAGCAAGATTTCAATTATGTAGTCACAAAAACAGAAAGAT